GGTGCTTTCGGAATTTTGAAATATGTACATGTGTTAGAAACGTATTCAGAAAGAAATAAAAAATAAATAAAATTAACACAAAAACCATATGGGAATTACATTAACAACTTTATGCCAATGATTTTGAAAATGTCAACAAAATAGACACTTTCCTGCAAAAATGTAACTTGGTAAAAATTTTTAAAAATGCAGGAAAAAACAGAAATTCTGTCTAGACTTAGAACCATTAAAGAAATGGAATGCTTGGGCTGGCCGAGTGGTACATTGGTTAAGTCTTGGCTTGGGATACCAGCTCTGAGCGGCAGGGCCCCAGTTGGGATCCCACTTGAGGGCCAGTGACGCTGCGCCCTCTATAGCTAAGATGGTGAACAACAGCTTGACCTGGAGCTGGGCTGCTGTGAGTCGCGGGCAACAGTGTAGGCTGCAGCCCGTGCGCAGTGAGCTACTGTGACTGGCTGGCAGCCAGCGTGAGCCGCTGTGAGCGGCCGTCCAATGGCTGGCAAGCGGCTGCCTCACCCGGGAAGAGTGCAACGATAATACCAACATGGGCCAGTGAAGCGACTGTTCTCCACAACTAGACTGAAGAACAAAAGGACAGCAACTTGTCTAGTCTCCTTCTCCGATTCCCCAACGCTGTTCCTCTCCTCCAATTCCCCAATAAAATAAAATAAAAAAAGAATGCTTAATTTAAATTCTGTATTGCATGCCCTTAAATATCTCCCAACAAACAAAGCCAATGAAAAACACCAGGCCTGAATAATTTTATAGGTAAATTCAGCAAACATTAAAATGAACAGAAAATTCTGATCTTATATATAATCTTCCAGAAAAAGAAAGCGTAAATCTCAACTCACTGTCAATTTATTATAAGCTTAATCCCAAAGCAGACATGGACAGTAGAAGAAAGAAAAGCATAGCACAATATCATTTATGGACATATATGCAAAAATGCTAAACAGAATATTAGCAAATGATCCAGCAATGTATTAAAAACGTATCAAGACCAAGTTGTCTTTCTCCTGGGAAACTAAGATGATATAACCAAAATCTAATGTATTTCAAACTATCACTGGAAAAAAACTGTATGATAACTGCTACCTAACAGAACTTCCTTAACTTGATCAAGCATATTTTGCCTCAGTTTGTTTTTTTCTTACTTGCTTATTGCCTGTGTTCCCTGCTGCATGGGGGAGCGGCAGGAAGGCAGGGCTTATGTGTTTTTTTTCACCACTGTCTAACTCTAGCTCATGCCTAGCACTGTTCTTGGCACAATGTAAATAAGTAATGCATGAACAGTGGACCTTTGAGTGAGGTTAAGCTTTAGGGACGAAGGTGCTCTACACGCATCACCCATCCGCGCCCGACGCAGCTCCAAGAGCATCTGCCAGCGGGTGCTCCAGGGCGAGGCCTGAAGCGTGCTGAGGATACCGGAGCCCTTTCTCGTGGCCGGCCGGGAAGTAGAGCGCCTGCGCTACCCAGAGCCAGGAGGCACACGAGTGAAGTGGGCGGGGCTCCAGGCGCTTGCGCGACGGAGGCATGTGGGCGGAGCCTTTTGCGCCTGCGCAGTTGGCGGCGGCCGTGCGGGGCGGGCAAGAGGCGGGCCGAGGGCGGGCGCAGCAAGGGAGGAAGGGCGGGCCGGGGGAACGGCGCCGCGGGGTTGGCTGCTACCCTGAGGCTGGACTCAACGGATTCGGGCCGCGCCACCGGGCGAGCTCGCCGCCCGGCCCGAACCCGGAGCCAGCGAGCGAGCGAGGCGGCGCCGCGCGGTAAGAGCCAAGGCCCGGTCCCCTCAGTGTGTCCCGGAGGGCCAGTCCATCTCCTCAGCGCCGCCCGCGCGGCCAGGCCCAGGCGACCCCGCAGACCCCCGGTGGGCCCGCGCCTGCGCCGTCCCTCTCCCGGGCCCCCCAGCCCGTCCCGCGCCTGCGCGATACCTCTCTGGGGCTCCCCGGCCGACCCGCAGTTGTGCCGCGGGACTCGCTGGCCGCCTGTGGCTGTGTTGGGGCCTGGTTCTAGGCTCTTAGTCCGCTGGTCCTCTCCGAGCCGAGGCGCCGGGCGCGACCCTCACATTTTGCCTTCTTCGATCCCTAGGAGAGGCCGGGGCCGCCGTCTCGCCGTCCTGGTCCTCTGGTCCCATGCCCCGGGAGGGGACAGTGCTGTTGTGGGACCCTAAGGACGCGGCGCGGGGAGCAGACCCGCAGGCAGCGGACCCCGGGCTTCCTGCGGGCTCAGCTTCCGCCGAGGCCCGCAGCCCTCCCAGCCTCGCCCCGCTCCGCTTGGAGGTTAGCCCGAAGCAGGCGGAATGTCCTTTTTTTCTTGAGACCTGGTTAATTGCATCAGGTTGGATATGAATAATCGGTGTTTTTGCTGAGGAAATTTTTACATTTCCTGCAATCTGGTAATTATATGGCATAAGTGGTTACGTTTAAGACCAGATAGTTCATTCTTGGGCAGTTCCCTAGAGATATCTGGAAAAGAAATCAGTTTCCACGTAGTTCCAGCCTATTGACAAGACTAAGAATTCCTGTGACCATTCAAATACAGAGACTCTTGATTTGTTGATGCCTTTGATAATTTGCGGGCAAGTACGGGAGGGCCCGGGAAAAATTACCGTAAATTCGCTGCCCTATTTTGATTACAGGGAAAAATGTGTTGTAAAAAGAGCATCTCAAGCCACTGATAATGTTTTCCTGAGTTGACTACAGATTCAAGAAACAAAAATGTTTCAGAGCCCCGCAGCGTTTGCTGTCACCCAAGATGCATCTTGAGATGAAATCAGAGCTGTACTCTTCTTAGGCATGAGCAGACATCAGCATAATACAGATAGGTTATAAAGTAGCCAAACCTATATAGAAGAGTATATGGTGTAAGTAGAAGTAGAGTATTGATCTGGATAAAATTGCTTCTGTAAAGAAATGGCTGATCCAGTATTTTCTTTCCTTTATAAAAATGTCTCTTCCCCTCTGATTTAGTATGTACCAAGCAGTCTTTAGACTCAGCAACTTTTGGTAGCTGGAAAATGTTTCTTAATTGCCTGTGTATAGTTCAGTTACATAGGGATTTTCTTGCCTTTTTCAGTAAGAAAGTGAATATTGTGCCATAGGAAACCTTTATCATTGTGCGCTTTGGTCCAAATAATAGTCCAAATAATTTGAGTGTCAGTGAAGTACAGTATCATATTAGTGATTATAGCAGTTGTGGTTAAAGTGAAGTTTGTATCAAAATTTCCATTTTAAACTTGAACTTTTAGGGTATATATCTACAGTGCAACCTGTCATTTTGAGGTTTTTCTGAAACAGGTTCTCCTTATAACTGACTTGACACAGTACATCTTATATTTCAGATGACTCAGATGATGGTATTGCTTCGGTTCAAAATTGCTGTCAGGGTTGGGTTTTCATAATACATGACTTGCCATATAACCATATACAGTTATTTAAATCACATGGTTAACTTGTAAATGGTGTTACACAAACTGTCCAGCTCAGCAGAGGAACAGTGACTTGAGTGTCAGTAGGCTAGAGAAGTTCTCTTAGCTTTATGGCCTTGGGCAAATTGTTTTCCTTTCTGGACCTTCATTTCCCCATCTGTAAAGTGTGTGTGTGTGTGTGGGGGGGGTGAGGTGGGGGGGAGAAGTTGCGAGGAGGAGATTGAAAGGAGCTTGAGTTGCTAATTTAACATTTACCATCTTGCTTACTAAGTCTCTTCCAACTAGGGAAGTCTTCTTCAATTAGGGGAGAGAACTAGGTCTTAGCAGTTCCATGACATTGTTTGTGGTCCCTCCTCAAAGATGGGGAGAGGGGGCATCATAAGTTGGTGAGGACAAATTTTGGAGACTCTTACTTGGTCAGGCCCCTGAAATGGAGTGTTGAGTGGGCCTTTAGTGTATTGAGAAAATATGGGAAGTTTTTTTTTTTTCAAAGATTTTATTGGGGACTTGCGGGAGGGGAATCGGGGCAGGGGAACAGACAAGTTGCTGTCCTTTTATCTTCAGTCTAATTGTGGAGGATGTCGCTTCACTGGCCCATGTTGGTATTATCATTGCGCTCTTCCCTGGTGAGGAAGATCGTTTGCTGGCCATTGGACGGCCGCTCACGGCAGCCCACTGCAGCAGGGGCTGCAGCCTACACCGTCACCAGTGACTCACGGTGACTCATGGCAGCCCAGCTCCAGGTCGAGCTGTTGTTCACCATCTTAGCTGTAGAGGTCGCAGCATCGCTGGCCTCATGTGGAATCTGAACCCGGGCTCTGCTGCTCAGAGCTGGCATCCCAAGCCAACTTTTAACCGACACGCCACTCGGCCAGCCCGGGAGTTTTTCATGAAACTAAATTTGTTCAGTTAAAGGACTGCCCTTTTCAGATGGCGACTGGCGCCCTCCACAATGAATATTGAAGAACAATAACTTGTCTGTACCCTTACCCCGATTCCCCAACACTGTTCCCCTCCCCCAATTCCCCAATAAAATCTTAGGGGAAAAAAAAGGACTGCCCTTTCTAAAAAAATGTTTTCTGGTGTTAAAATTAATCATCTTTTATGAAATGATGGTTATAGTAAATGGTGGTATATGGTGATTGTAAATGGCGAATGCAAGGTTGGTTATCTCATCAGAATAAGACATTTTTTAGAAGTAAAGCCTAGAATCTATTGTTTTGTTGTTAGGGTGTTTAGGAAAAAGTTCCTGGGATTTTTGCTGCTCAGATTAAAATATAGGTTATTTTTTAAAAGTAAATTGTGGTCATTAGTCATGGTCGTTAGTCGCAGGCAACTGAGAAAGCTCTGTTCAATTTGCTTTATTAAAGATGGTCCTATTCTGATCATCCATTCCTACTGGATACAAAATGTCAGGATATTTTTGTGTGTGTGCTTGTGCCAACAAAATAAACCCAGGCAGGAAAATTCCTCCTGGTGGTTGGAATTGTTAGTGTTGAATAGACTAACTGCAGAGGTAAAAAAAAACCCATGGGGGTTCTCTGTCAGCTCAGAAATCTTTATTGTGGTCTCAGTCTTTTGTAATGAAATAACACACCATCAAGAAATTAGGCTTACAGGGCCGGCCGAGTGGCACGTTGGTTAAGAGCTGGCTTGGGACACCAGCTGTGTGTAGCAGGGCCCCGGTTTGAATCCCATATGAGGGCCAGTGGCACTGCCCTCTACAGCTAAGATGGTGAAAAACAGCTCAACCTGGAGCTGGGCTGCGGTGAGTCACCGGCAATGGTGTAGGCTGCAGTGGGGCTGCAGTGGGCTGCCATAAGCTACTCTGTGTGGCCGACAGCTGGTGTGAGCTGCCAAGAGCCTCTGTGAGCGGCCGTCCAGAGGCTGGTGACCGATCTGCCTCACTGGGGAAGAGCACAATGATAATACCAACATGAGCCAGTGAAGCTACGTCCTCCACAACTAGACTGAAGAACAAAAGGACAGCAACTTGTCTGCTCCCCTTCCCCCAATTCCCCAATAAAATCTTAAAAAAAAAAAGAAAGAAATTAGGCTTACAGATTATATTTCAGATATGCTGAGGGGGAGAAGTGGCTCTGGTTTGTTCTAAAGCGAATGTAACAGATGATCTTTGTGTCTGTGAAACGTCTTTAAAATTCTTCCTAGTCAGATGTTAATAGCAGATGAGATTTAGAGTTATTATAAATCTTTTTTTTGTACTCACAAAACTACAATATATCAAAGTGTGTCAAGCATACATTTTAAAAGTGTCTTGAATTAAAATTAATAATGCAATCTCTAATTCTTCATAATACTCATTTCTACATTCAGAGGACTGACTGCTTTCAAGCTACCTCTGAGTTCTCCATTTTCAAAGGATAATTTGATAACCCCACAAAAGAAATTTGTCCATGAGTGAAAAGAGTGCAGCTCTGTTAACAGTATTTTTCTTGATCTTTTCCCACATCTTCATTGTATTAATAGTTCTTTTATTTTTTTGGTTAAATCCAGAGGTTTGCTCCCTGCCTGGGTCTTTCCAAAATAGTAATCTGTTCATAGTCACCATCTCGCCCCAACCCCTGCAATTTAAAATCCTTCAATGGTTCCCACTGTCTTCATAATCAAATCTGCCAACCCTTAGCTCGGTATCCAGGACACTTCATCACTGGGCTCTAGCCTTCACTTTCATTCTTCCCCCACCTTTTTTTAGGTGCTTCATTGAGCTTTGCTGAACAACTCTTGGCCCCTTGAACTCTCTCCTGTTGCCTTGTCTCCCTCTGCTGGAATGTTGTTTTACTTCATCTGATTATCACCTTCAAAACTCAGCTCAGGTACTACTACCTTGCCTGGAAGACATCCCTTATCCTGTCTCATGCAGACTTGTCCAGCACCCTGTCCAGTTAGGATTTGGCACCCTGTGTTTTGTCTGCTCCCTCCACGCAGTGGATAGTAGAGTACGATGTGTGGCTTGATACAAAGTTGTTGCATCTTTTGGGTGCGAGATGTGTTGGGCATGTCAGTGCTACGGAGGAAGTGGGC